GTTAGATCATCCTGTTTTGACATTTGTAGGCCACTATCTTGGTCTCCATCCAATTCCCTGATTGGAATGTTTCTCAACTCAGTTCGATGTACTTGTCGAAGTGGACCAGTGTGCCCAGCAGGAGCGACTGAATATACTACGCCATGACCAGGAGGAGGTCGCACTACTTGAAAGGGCGTGGGATCCCAAAAATCTTGAATCTTATTGCGACCTCTTACAGAGTGGTTTCTCATATACACCAAATCGCCCTGCTCCAAATCAGGACTAGCACATTTAGAGGAATTCAAATCTCTCTGAACCCTTCTCCTTTCTAACCGTTGCTGCACAACATCATATGCAGCAGCCAAGGACTTTGGTGTTCCTGTACCCACTCTTCAAGAGTGACGTCCTCATCAACTTCACTGCCAGCACCCAACCAAAAATCCACTGGCAACCGTGGCTCTCGCCCGAACATCAAATAATATGGAGTCATACCAGTTGACTGATGTACTGTGGTGTTATACGCATATGTGACTTGGGAGAGATGCCGCGGCCACCGGCGCTTTTGTTCAGGAGGCAGGGCACGCAGCAAGTCATGAAGTGTACGATTAAATCGTTCACATTGACCATTACCTTGTGGATGATAGGGTGTCGTCCGACTCTTCTCTATCTTATAAATTTTACACAGCTGTTGCACCAAAGCGCTTTCAAAATTTCGCCCCTGATCAGAATGTATACGGCTTGGAGGCCCAAATAAATGAAACCAATGCTTCACTAAAGCCTCTGCCACTGTACTGGCTCGCTGATCTTTTGTAGGGACAGTCTGAGTATATTTAGAAAAGATGTCAGTCATTACCAAAATATTCTCTTTACCATCAGTTGAGGGTTCAAGTACTGTAAAATCAATTGCCAAAATTTCATGAGGCCGAGATGCAGAAATACTACCCATAAAGGTTTTAATCTTTGGCACAACAGCCTTAGAAAGAACACACCTTTCACAATCTCTGCACCATCTCTCAATATCTGCATACATGTGCGGCCAATAATATCGCGAGCGCACCAACTGCAGTGTACGCTCAACCCCTTGATGGCCATGCTCATCGTGGAGTAAACGAAGGACGCGGCCCTGTAAACACTGTGGCAGCACCAGCTGGTCAACCTCCCTCACTCCATCAGGAGTATGAGTGCAGCGATACAACACAGACTCCCTTTGTTTCATCCGCCCCCATTGACGGACCAATTCCCTCGAACCCTTACCAAGACCATCTCTTTCCTTTGAATCCGGCAACCTGGCCACCTCCCAATACTTTAAGAAGGGACCAATCACAGGGTCTTGTTTCTGTAACGTACAGAGATCAGAGAAAGAACAACCAGGTAAAACGCTTATCTCTGCCTGAACACTGGGAATCATCTCACACTGCACTCCAATATCATTAGATAATGGACCATCCAATTCCATTACAGTTCCATGTAGGCGGGACAATGCGTCTGCATTAGCATTCTGAGCCCCAGGCCGATATTTTATGGTCAAATCAAAAGCGGCCAGCTCTGATGCCCACCTCTGTTCTGTGGCACCTAGCTTTGCCGTGGACAGATGGCTTAGTGGGTTATTATCTGTAAATACAGTGCAACGATGACCCAAAAGATACTCCCTAAACTTTTCAGTGACGGCCCACTTGAGAGCTACAAGCTCAAGCTTCATGGAACTATAATTTCTCATATTCCTCTCTGTAGGCTTTAAGCTCCGACTGGCAAAAGCTATTGGCCGCAATTTACCCTCATACTCCTGGGAAAGCACTGCCCCTAGACCCCCATAGCTTGCATCTACTTCCAATGTAAATGGCTTCTGAAAATCAGCAAAAGCAAGCACTGGTGCAGAAACCAGAGCAGCCTTGAGCTGATGAAAACTTTGTTCACACTCCAAATCCTAAAAATCCAATAACGGTTTTGGGGGGGTCCTACCTTTTCTACCTGGAGGGAGGAGTGCAGAGACCAATCTATGCAAGGGAGCAGCCATGCGTGAAAAACCAGCTATGAATCTCCTATAATAACTAGCAAATCCTAAAAAGGAACGCAGTTCTGCTAGATTGCTGGGCGTTTTCCAATCCCGCACTGCAGCTATTTTATCTGGATCAGTAGAAACTCCTTCGGCAGACACCACATGCCCCAAATATTTCACTTGCCTCTGGAAAAACTGGCACTTGGAGAGTTTCACTTTAAGCCCCTCTTTATCCAGACGAGAGAAGATTTCTTCCAACCGCTCCAAATGCTGTTGCACGGAGGATGAAAAAACAATCACATCATCCAAATACAAAAGCACCGACTGATGTCTGCAATCTCCAAACAAACGCTCCATCAGGCGCTGAAATGTACTGGGTGCATTACACAAACCAAACGGCATGCGGTTGAACTCAAACAAACCAAATGGGGTACAAAATGCAGTTTTAATCTTATCCTTCTCAGCCATTTCCACCTGATTATAACCACTAGCCAGGTCCAAAGTGGAAAACCACTGAGCACCAGTCAAAGCATCCAAGGATTCTTCAATCCTTGGCAGAGGAAATGCATCCTTTCTGGTCTTGGCGTTTAACTGTCTATAATCGACACACATGCGTAGACTTCCATCCTTCTTTTGAACAAGAACTATTGGGGATGAGTACGGACTACTACTTTCTCTGATGATGCGAGCTTGCAGCAGCTGTTTGATATGATCCCTTGCCAGTTCATACTGAGACGGAGGGATTCGCCTGTATGGTTGTCGCACTGGTGTTTCATCTATCAAAGGAATTTCATGAGTGATCAGTTTACTACAACCAACATCCAACTCATTCTTGGCAAACACGCCGCTATACTTCTGCAATAAAACTTTTGCTTGCCGTTTCTCGCTCTCCTCCAGACTTTCAAATTCAGGCAAATCCAATTCCGCTGCATTGTCTGCCATTGTATGACTGGAAATATAAGCTGTACAACACTGTGAATTTACAGATACCTGTATTTCAGAGTTACCCTCTGCTAGCACACTGGCCAGTTGAACTGTAGCAATCACCCGACGAGGTGTCAAATAGACATCAGTTTTACCAACATTAGTAACTGGAACAAAAGCCTCCCCTCCTTCTCCCTTTACCAATGAAGGAGACACCAATAGGCCTTCCGGGAGAAAACCATCATCAGGCCCGAGGGGTTCAATCAAGAGGTCAATAGGTGTATTCACAGGCATCTTTGGACAGGTAACAGGAACATAACTTTGCGTTCCAGCTGGAACACAGAAAGACTTCTTACCCTGTACTCTAACACGATGGGGTTCAGGAGAATTTGCCATGGCCTCCATCATTTGGCAGTATCTCAACGCTCTTCTCCAACCACGTGGCGCAGTCTTCAAAACTGGAGCTTCCCAGAGGTCAGAACCATATTGTTTACACAATTCAGAGTAAAGGGGGTTCAATACATTCATTCCTAACACACCAGGTACAGATATCTTTTTCTGTGCCATGTGGCTATCTGTTGGATCTCCCACAATCAACACCCCTCGACGAGGTAGGTGAATTCCCAGGATTGTAACATCCAACTCAATATACCCAGAATAAGGAATTTGTAGGCCATTAGCTGCTTTAAGTCCCAACCAACCACAGTCTTTAAGCTTTTTATCACTGAGATGAGAAAAGTTATTTTTAAAAGAGCTTTCTGTGATTGTTGTGACCATGGACCCTGTGTCCAGCAAACATGAAATAATAACCCCACCCAAATCAACCTCCCCTTCCAAGCATTCACCAACTAGATGACCGAGTTCTACATTACTGGAGCCTTGCAACCCTCCCACCAGTGTGTGGCTCTGTGCACTGGTGGGTACTAGTTTTCCGCCGCCCCAGTAGTTTGGCCATCAGCCCTAGCTGCTCTTTCATGCTGATTTCCATCAGAATTGGGTAATGTCGGGCAAAATCGGGCAATGTGTCCAATTTGCTCACACCTAAAACAAATGGGTTTACCATTCACCGTCCTTCTACGTCGAGAAGTGTGATTGCTAGAAGCAGCCACCTCCTGTGGGTTTAATGCCTTAATGACCAACTCTAATTGTGTCTGTTGGGCTTTAAAAAGGGACACCAACTCAGCATATTCTGATGTTCTAGAATCGACACTTTCACAAGAAGCTTGCATATCTGCAGAGACTGAAACAGACTGATTATATCTAGACCTAAAAGGCTGATTCTCATACTGTGCCATCCACCTGGTCGCTTCGGCTCTCGCCTCACGAATCGTCCACTGTGGGTTGGCATTAATCAAATCTCTCAGCCTGATCCTCAATGTCAGATCTCTAACACCATCACAAAATTGATCACGCAGATCTTTTGAAGCTTTTCTTGCGGCTTCCTCATCCGTTTTAATAATCTGGTCCATTAAGGCCATCAAGGAATGAGAAAAGTCAATTAGGGACTCGCCTTCTAATTGTTTACGATTGAAAAATCTGCGTTGCAAAGAAATGTGGGAATCTAAGCAACTGTACATTTCTTTCAATGTATCAAAAATTTTCTCAACATTTTCTTTCTGTTCCTTTGGCAAAAACTTTATCTCAGTGCGTGCAGTACCCTCTAAATGGTTAAAAATGATTTGAGCTTGCTCTTTTTCTGTTCTGCCTCTCGTGCGCACAAAGTCTCTCATTTGCTCAATCCACTCATCTAGAGTCAGTGAGCCCATATTGTCCAACTTCCCTGAAAATGTTGGCAACTTTCTATCCTGTTGTACGTATACCACAGGATTGGGTCTCACAGTCTCTGATTCACTTCCTGTAGCTCCTGTTGATGTAGAGGGCCTCTCTGTACCCACAGATGCTGTTTTCAAGTCTCTAAGTTCATTCTCCAACTCCTGTATACGTTGGGCCATTGTTTGTTGCTCGCTTCCCTCCATGATGGCGATCGAGACCTGGCTGCTCCTTCTCTCCAATCTTACAAACCTGTCCCTGCTGTCCTTACAAAATAACAAAACAAAATGGCCACTCCCTTGAAACCTGTCGACAACGCCAAAATGTAACCGAGGACAAGGGATAAGTAAACGGGGCAAAGAAATAATTGATCATTTATTTATTACATAAGTTAAACATACAAATTCCCAGTCGTTTCCAGACAGGACTTACAACACATCCTGCCGATATCCCAGCTGCGCATGAGACTTACCACACAAACTGTGCGAAATAACACTACAACCCGTCACACCCCGCTTAGTGGCACTGCAATCGTGGCACACACTGCAAACAATTCGGGTCTCAGCGCAGCTGGGAATCAGTGCTATGTATGGCCTGTGATCTGAGAGATAAAGGGAAGTGGCACAAACAATTAAAATAAAAAAACAAAAGAGAGGTTAGTCCGCCCTTACAAAACTTACTCTCAATCAATAACCGCCTCTACGGCTGGACGGACTAACCAAAACAAAATTACAAATCAATCAAAAGAACAAAAAAAGGACAGCAGAGACAGCACAGCTGAAAAACAAACAACATTATCAATTAAAATATTACCCAATAAAATAGCAATTTTATAAAACCATTCAAAATCATGAAACTAAAACAAACACTCAATATACCTACAATATTGATCAGTTTCCCTGCGCGCAGTCGATCTAGGGCTTGATCAATTCTTCTATTAAAATTCGTGGTCACACTAAAAAAGTCCAATGACACATTAAAAAATAGGCACATGCAATAGCAAAAGATCCAAACAAAAAATGGCAAAAGTCTCTTACCGACAGTATACCCACTCGCACCTGAGTGAATTAATTGCCTCTGGTTTTTTCCACAGAAGAGCGCTGACTTCACCCCACACACCCACTACCTTTTCACAACTCTTCAGCCAATCACCTGGCAGCGAGCAACAAACTGCCAGGTGACACTTGTTACATTTGGGTGCCATATAAGAATCAGTCTGTTTGCCATTTAAAGCAGTCCTAATCTTCACAGACTTAGCAGGTTCAGTCTGAGTCTGGAAATATGGACATTGCATACATGAGCATGGTGTTACTGTTCTCATCTAACTGTCAGCAACAAAGCAAATAGGCACATTTCCCAAAGAGACGTGGAGTCCTTTATAAACTGATTACCGACAGAGCCAAGCAGGCTCTAAGCAGGCCTGAGTTTTACTACATAAGAATTGATTAACAGCCATGGTGGTATTTCTTATGGCTTCGTTTGGCCTATAGTGACAATGCTGTCTGGCCAGCACAATTCAGCCACCGGCCCATCGCATATTGGCCAAATGACGGGTGCGCAGTGGTACTAAGGGCCACATCTGCCCTACAGAAGCTTGCTATAATCTATATCAAGCCCACCTCATGACATTTGGACCACATCTGGGCCAAAACTCATAAGAATACAACTGTGCTCAAAACCTTTTTTGCATGTCCCAATTTTGCAATTAGAAAAAGAAAACTTCATAACTTATTCGTTCAGATTATTCTTGCTAAACTCAGCATTTCCTGAGTGGTCATCCACACCCCACAGTCTGACTGCTGTAAACTATGTCAAACCACCTGATGACCTTTAGGCTGCATTTTGTCCACATGACATTTTGCAGCATCATATCTAAACCAGGTTGGGTAATTACTTATAAAAAACAAACTAAGAATAAGCCCCACATCTAAATTAAAGAGCTGTTTCCCCCTGATGGATGATACAGTAGATACACCATCTGACCTCCCCAATCCAAGTTTAACCATTCCAGCATTCTTTTGTTTTAAGAAGTATATTTGACAACATATAAACATTAGTTTGTAGGTTTTCTTGCTATAGTGTTCTTGCTAAAACATGAGGGGTTTCCAGCAATGTTTCACAAGCTGGGTCGAAGTGCTTGGGCTCAACTAAAAGTGAGAATATTTGTTATAAAAAAAAAAAAGAAGCAAAGTCCCAAGAATTGTCAGTGTGGTGAACATCCGTCTGCTTTAGAAACGAGTTATTGTTTGAAACAGAATGACAGGAACTCAGCTCATCGTAGCTCAAGATCCCAAAACACACCTCAAACATATGAAATGCATCAGTGTAAACCTCAAAACACTGAGCTTCCTCCATGTGATGATCATGTTACAGTTTCGGTGACTGACTTGGAAGCGGTGCGTGAAGGACATCAGTCTGAGGTCCTGCTAAGCATTGCAGAGGAGTTCCCTGCTGAACTCTGCTTCACCTTGGTGTTTCACGGCCGCCAGGGAAATCTGGACCTCGTGGCCGAGTCCCCAGATGAGGCCCAGGCCTGGATCCAGGGTGTGCGCATGCTGATTCACAAAGCTCAAACAATGGACGAGAAGGAGAGGCTGGACCAGTATCCTTTAACTGTGGTGTTTATTCTGGTGTTGGCTGATATCAGACACACTAGCAGGCGTCTAAACAAAGCTCCAAGTAGTCTGCTTTTAACCTTTTTTTCTTTCCCTCTGCAGTTAGCAGGACATTTTTGAAGTTTAAAAACATTTACTCAGCTATATGTTAGATCTGGGTTTTCCTCAGCATGTCCTCAGGTGGGTCTGGGACTGGTTTCATAAAGCTGACAAAAACAAAGACGGGAAGATGAACTTCAAAGAAGTGAAGAAGCTGCTGAAGATGATGAATGTAGAGATGAATGAGGACCATGCTCTTCATCTCTTCACGGTAAGAGAAAGGAATCAGCGATTAGCCCCGAGCTCTGACTTCAGCTCCCTTAAAAGTCTCGTGAAGGACTCAGAGCTTTTCAAATTCAAATTCAAATTTTATTTGTCACGTACACAGTCATACACAGTACGATATGTAGTGAAATGCTTGGACAACTGCTCGTGACCCAAAGAAAACAAAAAAGGAAAAGGCTATGAATAAGGCTATGAATAAGATAGGAAATAAATATGAAAAATTAAAAAGGGTAAATTTAACTAGGAAGGAATAAAATATAAATTAAGGTTAAAAATGAAATAACTGTACAACACAAATTAGAATGAAGGGTAAATTTAACTGGGAAAGAATAAGATAAAATATATAAATTGAAGTTGAAAATAAAATAACTGTACAACAAAATACACAATACACAATATAGAACTATATAAGAATGTATGAAGAAATCTAAATATAAATAAATATATACACAATAACAGCAGCATTCTCCAGCATTTTTAGACCTGAGATGTTGATGGTGAATTTATTATTAGCTGCTGCAGTGTTTGGGTCAAGGAAGGGATTAGAAATTAATATATCATAGGTAGGGGTGCAACGATACTCGTATCGATATTGAACCGTTCGATACAGTGCTTTCGGTTCGGTACGCATATGTATCGAACAATACAAAATCTGTAATTTATTTTATCAACTTTCCTTCTGACGATGATGTCTGCGTTGAGCGCTCAGTGAATCTGCGTTCGACTACTCCGCCTAGGCTGCACTGTCGAGGGCAGATCCACTGAGCGTTCAACACAGACAGCATCGTCAGAAGGAAGAGCGCAGGGCAAGCTAGCGAGACAGAAGTTAAGCTCTCCTTGCAACATGGCAAATTGAACCTCCCCCACCCTCATTCAGATCTGGCGTTTGGAATTATTTTGGTTTTCATGTGAGGTATGACCCTGAAGGTAAGCGTCATGGACTAAAGTAAAACAGTATGTTGGATGTGCCACGCAATGCTCAATTACATGGGTGGGAACTAGTGTGTTAGCGCAGTTAGCTCGTTAACGTGTTGGCTGTCTAGCCCCATGCAGGGGTAGCTCGTTAACGGAGATTTGCCTTGTTGTGGCGTTAACGTCATTTCAACGAGATTAACGCTGACAGCACTAGTGGGAACACAACGAATATGACTGCACATTTACGCCGACATCATCCTAGTGCAAAGACAAGTGGAAGCAGACAAAAACAACAAGCATGCATGCTACAAACTTTACCCGAGTCATTTAGATAGCCGTTAGCACATGATTCTCCTTATGGGGACCTGATATGTTTAATATTGTGGCTAGCTCAGACAAGGAGGAGACGGAGGTATCGTTTGGTCTTGCTTCCCGTGAGCTAGCCAGGGAGCACAGCCGTTTATTGACATCTGCAGAAGAACACTGCCGCTAGCTAACTGCTCAGCGCAGCAACCGCACAGCAACAACACACAGGGCGCCCTCTGACCCCGGAAGGACACACCGTCGCAGCGAGAGGGCGTCACCCGTCACTATGGCAACATAAACAAAACATAACTGTACAAACAGAACCCCGAACAGCCCTGACCCGCTACATAGCCCCCCACCTGAGGGGTCAGTCGTCCCCGACGACCCCATTGCCCCACACAAAGTCCTGCAAATGTCCAGGTGCATTCTTTTGGCGCACCGGCCGGTCACGACCGGCGGGGGAAAAGTCACTCGGGTCAGAACATGGGGTGCCACCATCATCCCACTTCTGACACCAATGTGGCGAGCTCAGACAACGAGAAGACGGAGGTGTCGTTTGGTCTTGCTTCCCGTGAGCTAGCCAGGGAGCACAGCCGTTTATTGACATCTGCAGAAGAACACTGCCGCTAGCTAAGTGCTCAGCGCGGCAACCGCACAACAACAACAACAACACACAGGGCGCCCTCTGACCCCGGAAGGACACACCGTCGCAGCGAGAGCGCGTCACCCGTCACTATGGCAACATAAACAAAACATAACTGTACAAACAGAACCCCGAACAGCCCTGACCCGCTACAATATGCTGCTGAGAATATAGCCCAGAAGAAGCGTATAGTATAGCTTTTATTTTGGAAAGAGCCATTTCTCTGTAATAAACTCTCTTTTCCAAAGATGAGTGATTCCTCAATCAGATAGAGGTGTTACCGCGCCAGATCCGCGGCCCCGAACCGTAGTAAGGAAACCTCTGGCAGTTACTTGAAGGTTCCGTAACTGACTCGTAGCCGGCAACAGCTTACTATACAGGTCAACTTCGCTAGCAAAAAGATCGAAGGAGGCGTAGGAAACTGCTTCACCGAACTTTATTTCTTCTCTGAGGCACGAACACCGCGTACAGTGGGCTGAAACAGTTTACTCACAGCGAGCATCGCCGACACAACTCTGGCTGTCGAGGGAGTTATTATATTCCTTTTATTTATTTTCTTTTTGTCTCTTCTGTAGCTAACCGTTACTTTTTCCCCTTCTCCGCTCTCTCTCTTCACACACACACACACACACACACACACACACACACACCAGGCAGTCCCGCTACACACATCCCGAATACATTTCCCATCAGGCTTCATCCTTTGGGGCTCGCAAAATCGCTAGCCCGACGTCCCGGGGCTAGCGATTTTTCCAGTCGGGCTACCAAAATCTATCTCTGCCCTGCCCGTCGGACAGTCATAGGAAGGAAAAATATATGTCAATGCTTTTGCATTCTTTCGGAAATGTAGCTGGGTAATTATGTCATTGGCATCGGTGAGCCACTGTCAATATGTGACATATTGAAATCGCGTTTGAATTTGCGCTTGTTTTTTGCTTTCACTTTGCAAATGTCCAGGTGCCTTCTTTTGGCGCACCAGCCGGTCACGACCGGCGGGGGAAAAGTCACTCGGGTCAGAACATGGGGTGCCACCATCATCCCACTTCTGACACCAATGTGGTGAGCTCAGACAACGAGAAGACGGAGGTGTCATTTGGTCTTGCTTCCCGTGAGCTAGCCAGGGAGCACAGCCGTTTATTGACATCTGCAGAAGAACACTGCCGCTAGCTAAGTGCTCAGCGGGCAACCCCACAGCAACAACAACAACAACAACACACAGGGCGCCCTCTGACCCCGGAAGGACACACCGTCGCAGCGAGAGGGCGTCACCCGTCACTATGGCAACATAAACAAAACATAACTGTACAAACAGAACCCCGAACAGC